CCGTGGCTTTAGCCGAACTACTTCTGAAACAAGGTGGCAAGGTGTGTATTTGTGTATCTGTGTGAGTATGGCTGAAAGAAATGTTTTTAAGGGGTAGAGCTCATGTCTCCTTAATTTGTTATGACATTTTATAGAAATGGCAAACGCTGGAAACAGCTGATGCATTCGCTCAGTTTCTTAATCAGAATGTGGGTTTATTTGATTTGAGTCAAAGGATATTCTCATGAAAGTGGATAGATAAGGACCATACTTGCTGTGAATGAATAGGTTAGATACATAAATTACATTGTCGAAAATAACATAAAAAAAATTGTCATCATCCTGCCTAGGATTGAACCCTTGGCCCATTGCTGACCGTTGCTTAAGGCAACTTGCCATATTAGTCTTTTAGTACCTCAGAGTAGCTGGTGACAAGCCCGTTACCTCTGAACAATTTATACTCGTTCCTGATTTGTCTGTTAGAGCCCTCTAGTAGTAAATCAGAAGAAACATTGGTGAGAAATTGCTGCTGAATTTTGCTTATGAAATAAATGGTAAAAATACGCTGCGTAAACTTTCATTTATCAACTGTGTATGTCGGGTAGAAAATTCATGGGCACCGTACAATTTGTTTTTTGGGTGCGCTGCAACATACAAGATTATTTGTAATGGGTTACTGTGCACAATAGCCGCAGCATGCGAGCTTCAGCTATGTCACTGAATTGGGAGTGGGAAGATGAAAAGGACGAGAGGGAACAGCATGGCATGAGCATGGAAAGTGCCTGAAAAATATTTCCCCCCTTTCAATTTTGACAAAGAAGGTGACATTTTCATACTCCCACTTTTACGCTATACTGTATTTTTGTATTTCGTGAACCAAAGGAACTATGAAACATTAGGAATGTAGGCACACACCTTTACCCATTTACGTTACTTCTACAGCCTTAACATAATACTTTTAAATCCAGGATTGTGTTATCTCTCGTATATGCTATGGCTTCAGTGTCTTCCCCTCCCTCCAACATCTGTGTTTGTAATATACATATATATATAATAATAATAACAGCAATCTGTGTCACATAAAATAATCTGAATGCCTGATGCTTTCTTGCCCACTGGCTCACTTACACACACACTTGATCATTCAGTCCTTATTATTTTGCCTTTGTGTTTAATTAATCAGTGTTGATTTATTTTAAATGTAATTAATTTGTTTTTATGTTTTGTGTGCTTTGATTTTCATTTAGGCGTATCAGATTCTTATTTAGTCTGAAGTTCAGATAATCTGATATAGAATTTTAAGAAATAAAATTCAAAAGTGAACTAAGTATGTTATGTTATCATCAGAAATGCAATGGAATGTTTTAGCTTATAGTTTACTGACACATCTTTGAGATGTAATTGGGCATTCCTTTCAAACTGACTTATCATGTCTGTGAAATACTAGGGATATGTTGCAATTGAAATGCAACTGGAAGGGAAGGCTGGGTGTCAGTTATAGAAATTTTGAAATGATTAATAACTGAAAGCATTCTTTTCCAGCCCTTATGGGAAAGCATCATAACCTAACCTAACCTAATGTGAATGATGCATTGCATGATTATATTTTTTGTTATCTTTCAATTTTGTATTATTTGTTCTTAAAAAAAGTATGTACAATTTTTATGAAAGACCATCTTCACAGGACAATCTGCCGTTATGGTTGCCACCTTTCATTCAGTCTCAACCTCAGTGGCCTGCGCTGGTCAGCAGGTCAGGGGATTCAATATGGAGACCAGGAAGCAACAGAGGACATGATGAGGTCAGGGACAGGGCCCCCATTAAATATTATAGGATGGAGAACACTAATCACTCCTATTGGTCTAACACAACATATTCCCCTACACATTCTGGTGTATAGAATGTAATTTATCACAGCTATAAATTATTTCTGAAATAAGGATATCATGATTCTAATTCAGATTATGTTATTGTAAGTATATCTTTTGACTGTCTAATTGTTTTGACCTAGTTTTTGTTTATTTATTTATTTTTATTGGGCGTTATGTTGTAAGGACATAATTATACCTTATATGTATGTATGTATGCTGTGATTGATTCTTACATAAATCTTTTATGAATGTTAGATACATTTTTTAATTCATTTAAATGTTTTTCTCTGTCCCTCCTGTCAGTGGCTGGGACTGTGTCATAACATAAGAAGAAACGTTTCCTTCCCCAGTCTTCATTGTAGCATCCTTTGATCTGCTAAGTTCTCACCTGCTGACCACTCATTGAGGTGTCCTTTAAGGGGTTAGCTTGACCACTATTAATAGAGGGCAAAGTTTGATTTGAGCATGGATTGAATGGAGGGATTAATACATTTTTAATTTTAAAGCTGTTATATTGTTTACATTAATTGATAATTTTTTTGATAGACTTTATTCTTTATAGTGAATTTTGGGTATTATATAAAGGTCATTTTTTTATTACTTTACTTCATAAGGGCTGTTTTGTAATATTTTGTTTGTGCATAGCACAACAGTCTCTTTTGTGTCATGTGCAATATGGTATTAATTTTGTTTCAATTAAAATGGAAAAGAAAGATTTTTACTGGCATTATGAGAGATTATAGTATATTCATCTTTCCAAATTCATATCTTTTGAAGTATTGGGTGTTAACTTCTGTCATTGTATCTTTGAGCCAAGTACCGTTTCCTTTCTCAACTGTTTATTCGGATTACATGTCATCTTTCTCATTTATGTACTGTTTTACAAAAGCAACAGGTTTGTTTAAAACATACAAATTCAGAAATATAATCTTAAAAGTCTGTTTTGTGGGTTATAAATTTACGTATCACTTTTATTCTCTGCACACGTCAGAGCTGTGTACGTTAATGAATGTAATATGATAAAATTTGAGCTAATATAGCAGTCAGTACAGTGGCTGGAGAAACAAAATTCAGTTTCCAACAAAGGCAGTATTTTCTCTTGACTGCCACTTCTAGATTGAGACTGCACTATGATCTACATACAGCCAGTTGTCCAGTAGATATGGGTGGAGGGATAGTCTTTTTGCCGGGGTTAAGGTAGTACAAGCATGTAGCTGATCACTGAAGTCTATAATGCACAGAGGTTTACTGTTAATGACCCCTATATGGCACTAATGTGCTGCGCTTAAGCTCAGAAGGAATTTTACTTCTATCTACTATAAAGAAATCTGTAAGTTTCCAACTTTTCCTACCTACAATTGGGATTATGGGAAAGACCAGTTTATATCTCTACTGTTCTCCACAATAGAAGGTATTAACCTAAGAAACTACACAATTGTTTGAAAGAGTTTATCAAAGAACTTAATCAAAAAGTTACATGAGGGTGAATAACATTCTGATATATACAGCCCAAGAAGAATGTCTGTTGAATTTTTCTAGTTTGAAACAAAAGCTTTGTAGTATTTGAGAATACATTTTTTTCTGTACATTATATTTTTTACCACATATAAATAAAATCAGGAAAATATTTTGATCGTGTTTTATATTTTTTGTCAGTCCATGGTTTTCATTATCTAGATTGCATGGGGCTTATGGTGATTATTTATTAATTTGATTAAAACACTAAGGAAATTTTCTTAAATCTGCAGGCTTCTTATAGAGAGGTGGCAACTTTCGTCTTCAATTTGATAGGATTATCTCTCTTTCTTCTTTCCTTGAGTGCAAACTTTAAAAATCAGCACCTCTGGTTTAATTTGTTGTTTGCATACTCCAGATTGTATCCAGTACTTGTATTGAACTGGAACGATGTGCAGTGCTTCATTTCATGGCAAGAGCAGTCAGTACTAGTTCATAACAGACATTTTGTCAATTGTATGTACATGCTTTATCACTTAGTCATAGTTTGTAGTGTCAGTTTTGCATCAGAGCTTTCGTATGTGGTATATGTTGCTAGTTATTTTAATGTTTCTTAGACACTGATATTTTATTCTTACTCTGCCATCTGTGACATTTTATCACTAGCCTGTCATCTATTACTGTTGCTGTTAAGTCACACAAATTGAGTTACGGTAATCTAAACATGTCGTAATTTATTGCTGTTAGGCTCTTGCAGACATTGTCAAGAAACACTCTTCTTTTAAACTTATTTGCACCAATATAGTAGTGTTAGTTATGAGCCGGGATAGCTCAGTCAGTATAGCGACTAGCTACATGCTGGACGACCGGGGCAGAGGATTTTTCCTCTAGCCTCTGCGTCCAGACCGGCTCTGGGGCCCACCCAGCCTCCTCTACAATGGGTACTGGGGTCCTTTCCCGGGGGTAAAAGCCGGCCGGGGCGTGATGCTGACCACTCACCCCCATCTAGTGCCGAGGTCAAGAAAGAGAGGAGCTATACCTCCACTCACCCCAAGCGCCTATAGTGAGACAAACTTTAAAAAGTAGTGTTGGTTGATTTAGCTTAAAAGTGTGTCTTCATGTCTGTGTAGATGAATGCAAAGTAGGACACTTTTTCCCTAGCACAAATTTTGTGTTTCTTTTACTGGATGCAAACATTGTTTTTATAGTATGTATTTTTATTGTAATTAAAAATGTTCTAGATGGGATTATTAACTGAGGATCCCTATGAAAAGGAGTCAACAATAGACTACTAATAAGTAATATTTGAACTTTCTTTGGGTCAGCTGAAAAATCACTGTTCACAGTTAAAAATAAATAAAACTAATAGTTTTGATGAAAATTATGATCTCCATCCATTCTCCTCTATCATTTACAAGATGAATAATTTCAGTTTTGTGGTCAGAGCTATGTTCTTGTCTGAAAATGTAATGTCATCCTTTGACTTTATAAAATACATACTTTATTACTTCAAGCAAGGATTTTGCCAGAACCAGGAATAGTCAGGTGTTTGCAGCGTAATACACCAAATCTGTGGAAGAGGGTGGATGAGGAAAAAAACACCAAAACATCGTGAAATATTCCTTTGTCTAGACAGACTTCAATATGCTTTTAAATACTTATTTTGAGGTTAAAATAAAGAATCAAACACTCACAGTATTGCCACTTCCTTTCATTGGTTTCTCTTTTGCAGCATCTGTGAAGAAATCAGTTTATTCATGTGTTTTACAAAAGTTGAATGTCTATTGTTCTTCAGTATGCTACGGTGGTATGTGTGGAATATTAGTAAAGAATGCCTGGATTTGTATGAATTGTTTAACAAGTCTCTGACTTGCTGTCAAGTTCTTTTCTGCAATGTTCAGTTCTGAGGTGTAAATCACACTCTGTAAATAATTTCAAGGGTAAAAATCTACGGTTTTCAGGCTTCAGTTGGTGGCCATGCACCCCCCCCCCCCTTTTTTTGGGCCCCCCCCCCCCCCCCCCCCTTCCTACAGATACCTGTCCATAAATTGCTTGAGTATGTACCAAATGCACAGTATTAAAACATTATTCTTAGTGTACTGAATACTTCATACTTTTGCAGGACTTAAAAAGTAAAAATGTAATAATACTGTGATCACCCATCCATACATTACAGTGTGATCTCCAAATAGAGTCATCTGCTTCCTTGCTTGAGGGTAGAAGTACAGGAATGAGAGAACACTTTTGTTGTGCATAATACTAATGTCAGGGAGGCCAACATATTGGGTCAGCAGCATGAAACAACAGCTAGGAAACACTTGGTACCTTTACTGAGAATGTTTTACTTCATTGTGACTATTTTACAGTCTTTATGTGACACACATCTTAGGTACAACCATTTCAAATAGAAAGAGAATTATGCCATATAATGATTGTCTGCACCATAATTTAGTAAACACAAAATATGTGATAATGTGACGTCTTTCTCATTTTCTGTAGACTGTTATTTTAGTAGTTTATTCCTTGTATGTGTGCTTTGCATTCCAAAAGTCCATGAGTTGTAATATTCTACCTTTTTTAATTTAGGGAGATGCACGCAGTTATCATATAGATATTGTTTACAGTAATTTATTTTATTTTAAACCTCACATCAGTAATGTGAAGTGTAAGTCCATAGAAATATGTACAATACACACACACAGCAATGAAACATGCTTACGGTTCAGGTGGCAGTGAAGAGAGCGAGTTCCGACCCTGGTGCACAGCATGGCTCAAACTCGAGCAGTGCAAGTCCTAGCCCTCAACCATCTATGCCTACAACACAGCAACAACAACAGCAGCAGCAGCAGCAGCAGCAGCAGCAGCATCAACAACAACAACAACAACAACAACAGCTACAGCTGAATTTCCAGGAAGACAGCTATTCATTGGCTGGTGTGACATATCAAACCACAGACGATGGCAGTGGCTACTTCTCTCCCAGCCTTCAGGAAGATGTGTTCCAGCAGGTATCAGTGCAAGATACCATGCTTCTTCATGGGGTAGATGCAGCACAGCTTGCAGAGAGCATACAAGTAAGCTTACAGATACAACAAAATTACCATGTTTCCTTGAAACCGTCATGAACTAGGCCATACTTCAGCATGTTCTGGCCCCGTTGTTTTGTCATATTACCTCCTCTTCAGCCATGTCACTTTTATTAGCCTATTTTCCCTTCTTAAAGAGAGAATGTAGTCTTACAAGATCATCATGTTGTCTTTGTAACCGCCTTTTCTAAATTTGAACCAATTGACCAATATCCACAAAATGTGGTATGAATGTTGGCCTTTGAAGGCCATGTCAGTCTATAACTTCATAGTTTTACAGTCTGTAAGTCAGTAATAATATGGCAGATGCACAAACTTGTGAGGTGGGAATGACTTTAATGCCACTTAATCTAGGATACTGAAATAATATATGGCATTAAATTATTAACTGATATGCAACTTTTGTAAATTTAATTCCTATAGAATGTAAAACAGCAGTGTGATGGCAGTATGAAATCTGTGAGTTTACTTAAAACTCTTTGTAGGATTTGAGGTTTTCACAGTGGTGAATCTGAAGATTGCTGTTTTCTCGGTTGTTGTGCACTGTTTTGAGAGTGTGTTACTCTGTAACAATTTTAATTATAATTGACTGCCTTCTGTCATGTGCCTTTGTGTTCATTTTCTGTTTAGGATTCTTAAACTTACAATCTTTAACAATTTCATTTAGTTGATAAAAGGATCTCTGTAATTTATGCTTGGTTTTTTGTACTAGTATTTGATCATATATGAGAAGTGCCATATTGCAGGGCCACTTTTTACCCCTAGGAAGGGACGCCAATACCCGTTGGATAGAATGCTGGGTGGGGTTTATTGCTAGTCTGGACTCAGAGGCTAGAGGAAAAATCCTCTGCCCCCTCTGGGGGTTGAATCCCAGTCATCTAGTTCATAGCCAGTCACTACACTGACTGAGCTACCCTGGCTCTATATATTGTTATAACACTTTTAAAAATAACTTAAAATGATATGGGTGTCCTCTGTTATGGAAGAATGGTCTTCATTTTTGTGATTCACCCATTCAGTTTCTTTTCCATTATCTATAAAAGCTACGTGAGTCTTGCAATTGAATTATCTGCACTTATTAATAATGTAATTCCAAAATCAGTACAAAACTCCTTTTCTACAACCATTCTGTACTTCTAATAATACAAATCTGAGACAATGTAAGCATTTTATTTTAAATTTAATAATATTATTAATAATTTATGTTTTATAACTTGTATTCAGTAGACTTATACCCATAATTCTCATAACAATTCCTACAGTGCATCTTAAATATAGTTTTTGTTTGTAAAACTCATATTATTGTTATTGTATATTAATAATTTATCACCTCTCAAAGTACTTTGTCATTGTGAGATTTGAAATCTTCACAGTAGTGAAAATTTGGAGGGGATGAGTTCCTTCAAAACATTGGTAACTACCTACAAGTTTATATGGTACCATAATCCAGAAGACCACAAAGCAAATTATTTCATCAGTGTTGTTTCTTTTAAACATTTGTAATTTTTATTGAATCTCATCTTATCTAGAAGTTAACCTGCAATGGATCTCAGGAATCATTTAGATCAACCAGTTTCCAGGTTACTATTTCTCATTATATGTAATTTTTATAGAGATAACAAAGTATTTGTAGTGACAACAGTGAATGGGGGCTTCAGTTTCAGGCAGCCACTCTGCTGCAAGATCAGTCCACAGCAGAGCAACTTCAGGACATAGCATCACTTGAGGACTACCAGACAGCAACAGCTGGGCTCCAAGACAGTGTCCAGAGCCCACAGTACAACACACAGAACCACCATGGTGTGCCTCAAGACTTCCAAGCTGTTCTAGACTCACCCTTGCCTGATGGGCTGGCTGATTTCAGTACATATGGACAGCCAGCTGTAGTAACTTCGAACACCGATATGAGAACTGCGTTGCCCTCTCCTGTATCCAAGGACCCATCAGCTGGCTATCGTACAACACAGTCGCCACATCAGCAGGGATATGCCAACTCACCTCATGCAGCCCTTGCAGTGCAATCACCTTTGCCATCACCACTGACACATCATGACTCACCTGGCTTCACATATCCCACCCCACCAGCTAGCCAAGAAGGACAGTCACCATCATTTGCTCATGGCACAATCATGACAAGCACGCTTCCCTTGTCTTCACCACAACAACAGTCTGGGGCAACAGATAGCTATGTACAGTCAGTGATCTCACATGGTGGTGGTCATGTACCACCAGCATCGTCTCCACTCTCTGCAGCCTTCTACACTGCTGCCATGTCTAGTTCTGCTGCTGTAGAAGCTGCGCTGTCTGAGGTGCTACCTGTGGAGACTCAGGGAGGTTGTGTAGTGGGCAGTCATCTTCGTTCCCCGCATGGATTCAGCTTGTATGGAACGTTGGCCAACCCGTCTCCACCACCCCAGTCGCCACTGTCAGCAACACCAGTACCTTCTCCCCTTTCTTTGTCCAGTGTGCCTGCTTCCTCTTCATCTGTGTCATCTCCTCTACCTCCTGTCACCTTTGCGCCTGCACAAGGACAGGTCTCATTCCCCCTCTCTCCACACCAGTCCCTCCAGTCACAAATGATGCCCAATTCAGAGGACCCTCTCCTTTCTAGCAGTCCCAAGGACTTTGGAAGCAGAAAGAAGTTTGACTTCGGAAGTATACATTCATTCAAGCTTGTTGGAAATGGAATGGTGGATTTTGCAGTTGGAAACTCAGGACTTACAGGAATTGTAGTGGACAGTAATGGGGAACTCAAGTTCTTCCAAACCTCCAATCACCATCCAGCCAAGAGCCTGGTGGTGACAGGAACTACAGGTACTAACACAACAGTGATGATGGGTAACAGCACTTCGGCATTTCATAGCAAGAAGAATGAGCCTGATGGTGGGAAGAAAGGGCTCTCAGGCAAGGGTACTAACACGCATCATACCTCTCACTTCCATCAACATCATCACAGCAACAGTGCCACACGTAGTCAGCGACCAAGGCTCCAGGTGGCACTGGACAACTTGAAGGACGATGGAGATGATGATGTGTTCCTCAGCCCCACTAGGTGAGATGCTCAGTTTGGATTCTGAGATTTTGTTTCAGAACTGTGTGTCACACTATCAGTGGCATCTTATCTGTAGATGTCCAAGATTGAAAATGTGAATCACAAACTGAAATATCAGTCTGCATATCAAGTGAGTTGGTAATGAGAATCCAGTGAGTAATTTTCTATTTTCCTTTTACAATATGAAAACTGATAGCTTTTCTGATGCACTGTTATTGCATACTTCATTATTAAGGTATATCTCTCAAAGACTGCTGTATTCTTGGAAATCATCAGACAATTTGTTTTAACTTGCATTAGTTTCAAAATAATGGAATGTATTGACAGCCATATTTGTCAATTCAAGAACATGTATCGATGATTTGGGAGCAGTTTTATGTAAGCATCTACGCTATGGCCTGAAGTAGGCAAGTTTATTTTATAACACTGTTATCTGAGGTCTAATTGAAAACAGTATTAACGCAATTCACACAGTAATTTATTAGACACTCTTTACTATGAGGTATATTTAATAAACCAATACAAGACATTTCTACTCCTATCTAATGATGATTTATTAACTGTAATTTTTTGGTACTTTCTTTAATGAACTACTTTTTGTTCAAAAGGTTCCAGGTTTAATTCCAACCATTACCACTAATCTGAAATATAAAACAATAGAAAGTATTTATCAGTACAGTGATTGAGTATAGCCAACCAACAAAATGTTGTGCATATTGAATCTACAACATATGATGGACAACATCAAACATAATTGTGATGTAATGAATCAACAATTGTCACAGACATTTAGAGGATCACAGTTCATGTCTCATACAATTTCCTTTATTTTGACACCTTAGATTTTTATCTGTTTGAGGAGTAATGGGTGTGAAATTGTACAAGAGGAATAAATAATTAAGGGCAGTTTGCATGTAAAATCCTGGTACTTTTGTCAGACATTACTTTCACAGTTATTATGTGCCCTCCATACTGAGTTAGGTGTAGTCGTGTTGTGGCAGAACAAGTGATGTTGACGGAGACCACTCTGGCCATCCAACCACTTCGCGAACGGCAGACAGTGTCGAATAAGTTACTTCTCTGGTTCAAGAGGACAGACTGATTACTGTCACTGATATAGCTGACAAGTTTGACATCAGCTGTGGACCTACATATCCCATCATCCAAGAGGACCTCAGGTATTACAACATCTGTGCAAGGTGGTTACCAGAGCAGCTTACAGATGAGTTCAAATGGGCGTGTGTGGAAATGCACACAATTTCAGAGAATGATAATGTGAAGGAGAGGCTTTGCTGCTTTGATTGTCACTGGTGATGAAACATGGATGCAACAATATGACTATGCAAGCAGACGTATAAGCATGGATTGGAAAAACATCATTACCCAGGACTAAGGAATTCATAAGTGGGTCTTCTCCCAGCAGAGTTCTGTTGTTACTGTTTTGGGACTTCCATCCTTGAGAAGTACCAGGATCATGGACAGACAGTAAAATGTGTACAGTATTATTCTTTGCTTGAGGAGTATGTATAAACTTGCTATTTGCAGTAGACATAGAGGAATGTTGGCAAGAGGAATTGTTTTGCTTGATGAAAATGGCAGCAGCATCCATTGAAATATTTCAAAAACTGAAATTTGAACTTTTCCCTTACCCAGCATATAGTTTAGATATTTTCCCATCTGATTAACCTATTTTGAAAACACTCGGGTACATTACATGGATGCAGATTTTCAAATGATGCAAGATGCAGTGGCTTTGGAAACAGCCAAAAACATACTATGCAGATAGTGTCAGGAAGCTTATAAATTAAAGTTACAAATGTGTGAAGAATCTAAGGGATACATCGAAGAATTAAAGTACACTTCCTTTTTGTGCCATTTGTAGAATAAATACAAACAGTAAATTTCCTTTTCTTTTGTAATTCCGTTTATAATTCATACATGACACTAATGAAGGCAAAATTATATTGTTGCAGCATCCCCGCAAGTCCAATTCGTGTGCAGCGAAAGAGGCCGCGACCTGAACCCCTGTACATACCACTCCACCCTCATCCTATATTCCAATCACGCTTGCGCTCACCTCGGCTGTGTACTTCTTCTCCACCGCCGCCATACACACCACCACCCATGTTGAGTCCAGCCAGAAATGGGCAAGGACTATTCTGGCAAGCTGTCACCCCAACTATGACAGCCTTGAGTGCTCCAGCTAGCTCTACAGTGGCTTGGCCTAGCTCCACAGTGGCTTGGCCTACCTCCACAGTGGCTTGGCCTAGCTCCACCACATTCACCCATAGCAAGAGTAAGTCATAGTTGCTTGAACCTGTGGTTTCTGGGCAATGAGCCTTGAAGACAATTATCTAGATTATGTGCTGACCGTGGAAGAATAGACCATAACAAAATTTTGTATGTAATCTGATTCTGGTTTCATTTCTGAATTGTTATTTATGTCTGCAGCTTATGGGTACATTGAGTTTTAGTTATTGTTTTTGCAAAATGGTTTTGTTCCAGTAAATTTTTACTCATGCTTCATATGATGACCAAATTCTGTTGAGTGTGAAATTATAGGCACATACAGTTTTAAAACTTAAGAAAATTTTAACAGGTCCTATGACAGATCTTTAGATCTGCCTGTAAGTTCTTTTTAAGTTAGTTATTTGTCAGTTATAAATTCTAATAAAATATTAAATATTTGTACTACTCTTTCTTCACATTATATGTTTTATGTTTGATGCATACTTCTCATATCTGAGACTATTGAAACTCAGAGTTTAAGTGCCATTTTCAGAGTTCCATTTACTTTTTCTCTGATCTTTGCATTTCTACCTACCAACTTGGATGAACTGACACATTTTAAAATTATTGTATTCAGATTTTGTAGTGTGAATTTTCTTGCCTTGCTGATTGAAAACTTACCAGAGCACTGCAGAATGTTCAGAAATAGTTGAGGACAGTAGTGTATTCTGTTTTTGTACTGGTCCCATTTATATTATAATGAATAAGTTTTTTTCATAATCTTCTAAATTTTAAATGTAATTTTACTGAGTGAGATTTCACATTCTGATGGTAGTGAGTATGAAGATGACTTTCCTCTGGGTTGTTGCACCATGTAATCTTGTAGAAATTAAGCAACTTCTTTGAAGTGTTTACTGTCTCCACCTTCATGATGAAAACTCACCACACAGATGATGAAGACTAAGCATCTGTGAAACATTGGTCTTTTTCCATGATAATACATGGCACAACAACCCAGAAGATGGTCATCTTCATCATCATTTTACTGTGGATGGATGAGTGAGACATTTTCAGTTTTACTGTAGTATGCAGTGTTTTAAGAATGCCTTGGGTGGTAATCTCAAGGCTTTGAGATATTTGGGTGGTAGTATCACATGTTAGGCTCATTACCAGTGTTCTGGAGAGTATTGCTAGAATGCATTACTATTACTCAAAAGTTTGACATCTAGTGTGTTGGTGTTAATATAATTAAGAGTAACTGTCCTGTAGCTCAGCCAATATTGTAAAATTGTTGACCAGATAATCTGCCATAAACAAAAATATACCATCACATATCCAAGACTAGGTTTTACTTACACATTAAATTCATTTGTTTGTGAAAGGATGGGTTATGTTTCAATATGAAATCATGTATGTCCATAAATATTGATTAAGATGAAAACTGTAGTTTATGTGAGGTTTTCCCAAAGTGCTACACACAAACAGATCAGATTTTTTTAAAATTGGTACACATATTAACCTTTTAGCTTTGAATCATTTTGAATGTACATCTTTATCTGGAAACAAAAAACTTGCAGTGTGATGTGGAACAAATTTATCTGTAACAGATGAAAACTATTCTGATATATTTACAACATATCTCTTTGTGCTGAAGGGCTTAAAATATAATGGATGTCTGGAAATAATATAGATCTTGCTTACAAATTCACATTTTCATGCTGATATATTCAATGGATTACATGGTTACATGTTCATCGTAAACTGTGTCCAGATGGCAATGGTGGTGAATCATCTAGTTCAGATGAGAGCCAGCAAGGTCCAACTACCAGCAGTGACTCTGCACCAGAGTCGGATGCTACACCTCATGTTAACATTGGACCTGAATTCCAGTGCAGCATACCACAGTGGAATCCTGACAGAGAGAAAGCTAATAGAGAACCATCATATGAACATCTGCTGTGGGACCCAGGCATCAGCAAGTTCTGTACAGATGCTGAAGGTAAACTGGTGGCTAATTGTGTATGTTTCTTATGGTCTATCTGATTTTTCAAACTGAACATCTAAATGAAAAGAATCATTTACAGGTAAACCTCGATTTGCGCTGCTTCAATTTGCGCCGATTCAGAATAATGCCATTTTTGAAACTAGCAAGTCAAAAAGTAAAAAAAAATATATTTTACCATTATTTATAACATTTTACAATGTTTCTCGTACTGATTCTTATACTAAGTCGTAATTCTTACATCGCTGATTTTGAATAAAAATTATAAATACATTTACCTCTGCACTTATTGCTAAGCAGTTGTGAGATAATCTCCTAAAAATCCGCCAACATTGCGCAACAGTCACGTGGGCATTGGTCACTCTTCATGGTGAGTCATTTGCCTGATAAGGGAGTAAGAAAAAATGTGCTCAGTTCATTCTTGTTGACACATTGAATGTGCTGAAAACTATGCTAAATGTGTTTGTGTTGTTGTTCGACCACTATTCTGCAGTAGCAACTGTTTTATGTTTATAAATTGTAGAAGAGCCCCATGTCTGGTAAGAGAAGTGAGTGTGTTGCTAAAAAGTTGCGTAGGTGTATTGCGTTAGAAGATAAGATGGACATAATTCGTAGAATAGAAGGTGGTGATACCCGTCGTAATGTGTGCAGAAGTATGAAGTTGCCTCCTTCCGCTGTGACTACCATAATGAAAAATTCATTTAAAATAAAACAGTCAATGCAACAGGGTACGAGAGTAAGTGCAACGCAAGTGAGTTATAGCAGAAGTAAATTTTTAGAAAGAATGGAGAAATTGCTGTTGCTATGGGTGGATGACATGAATTGAAAAAACATTCTCTTGACTGAAATTGCTATCACGGATAAGGCGAAGTCAATTTTAGAGGAACTTAAGTCAATGTTTGGGTGCTGTGAATGCATGTCATTGACTTCCCATTGATTTACATTATAAAAAGAGTTTCAATTTACGCCGGTTCATCCAGGAACGCATCCCCGGCATAAATCGAGTTTACCTGTATTTGGATGACCTGAGATTAGATGGAAGCATAATATTAAATGGATTTTAGCAAAATAGGAATTAAGTGGATTCATTTGGCTCAAGATCTAATCACGGGTCTTTAGGAACATGGTGAAGAACCGCTTGGTTCCAAGAAAGCAAAGCAACTATTAACTTTTCAAGAAAGACCCTGCTTCACCTAGGTGCAATTAGGTTTTAGTATATAAATAGAAAAAGCTTTACCATCTATATATTAATTTTAATTATTATCTTATGCAGTACACACATTTATCAAGGAAACGAGTTGTGCCAACTAATTTTTGGTGAAGATGGCTTATTGGTTGTTGCATCATGTCTTTTTGACGTTTACCAATATTTTAGATGTGCTTTCTGCCTTCATTATCAAGATAATGAGCCTCATGAGACTGCATGGTGCCATCTTCATTCTTGCCACTATGAGAACCTGAATTCTCATATAATTGTTGGTGATTCCATTGCAGTTGAAATGTACCTGGAATTTGCATGCTGTGCAGCAGTGCCTGGTGGAGGTCGCAACAAAGAGTATGCTCTCCATCTGCTGCACATGTGTCATGGGAATATTCATGTGAGTATTAATGCTTTTCAGAATCCGGGGGAAATAATTATTGAGACCACCAGAAAGAGTATCCAATATTTGTGAAAATGGAATTATGAAAGTAAAATATATTTTCCAGTCATAAAGAGTGCAAAACACAATAAAAATAGACCAAATGCTTCAAGGTTTTCAACATCAAGCAGCTGAGTTTGTAATTGAACTCTTCAGAAATAAAATAAAATTCTCTCCATAACTGGTGGTGATGTGACACTTGGTACACTGTTTGCAGATTTTTTAAAGTTGACATCTTTACAATAATTTTATATTTTTTAAATTGAATCTCCATTAAATCTGTTAGAGCAGGATAGTCTTTCACTGTTCCTCTTTTCCAACATGGTAGGAGCCAAATACATTTCCAACACCAAAGAATCAAGATTATTATTTATATTTCAAGATGTTGTTTTAATTTTTATTCAGTAAGTGCTTATATCTGCTGCCTTGACCTTTGACTACTTGCACTATACATTCTGTTTATATGGCTATACATAAAGTTCTGAGAAGAACATAATGTGGTACCTGCTTTCCTTCAAATGTTAGGGTCTGTATTGTAAGGCCATCAAGAATCATAAATTAATAATTTTACTCTTTTATTGTCTATTTATGTGCATAATTTTCTCTCAGATAAATTCCTACGATGTTAAACTTGTTTGATAATCTCAAAAAAGTTTTATACCATCCCCATGTTTGCAGTTGTTAGCATATATATAAAAAGTTCCAATTTGTTCTTTATACGTAAGTTATAATGTATCTCCATACAAAATTTCACTTTGCTAGCTTTGATGGTTCATTGGTGTAACCGTCCCACTCCTGTTTGCTGTTGGAGTTGCCCGGCTCGGTTGCAGTCTTGTCGATCTCTGTCGTATGTGATGTAATTCGGGATTTCTGCTCATGTAGGCATGGAACTTTTCTCAGGGAATATTACATGGAGGGGTATAAGCTGAATGCCAGCGAGGAAGGTTTCGGTAATGGTCTTGAGATTTAAGTTCGTAGTTTCACAAGCACAATTTATTTCTTTTACAATTAACATTCACTGGCCGAATCGAGCTACAAAACAATTTAGGATGTTGCTTCCTCTGAATTCCAGAAAAGAGTGTCCTCCAAGAAAACTTTCCTGTCCTTTAGTTATAGGACTTCCCCCCTTAACTTTCACAAAAAATGATGTATTTGGGCAGTAATGATGCCCTAGCTCACGTGGACCATTAAAAAACCCTTTAGCCGGCGGGTGCCCCCCGCAAGAAGTTTGGGGGTCACACGGTGCCATAATTCTCTCCTTTACAGTTGTTGCTTGTGCAACTTTCTTTTCTTTTCTTTTTTAAGTGTCAGTGAGCCTTCTGCACTGAATGCAGAGCACCTACCAATAAACTGACCCCTGGCCTGAAAAGGACGCACTTGCCTAACAAGTGAAACGCGTAAATCTTTATTACTTGTTTCCAATTTATTTTGATTTGCGCCTCACCGGGACTCGAACCCAGAACGCGCGGTCACATTGGTTATGGACATAATACCAGCAACTAAATATAAACTTTGTGTGGCCTCCATGTTGTTGTGTTCAATCATAAAAATTCAAAAGGTCAGGTGGCCTCTAGTGACATAATGTACATACAAAATAATATAAAAATCCTTTAATTGGGTTAAAAATTGTTAAGGAAGGCAGACATATGGAGTGATGGAAACATGGGTATGAAGACACTTGTAACCCCAAGGTAATGTAAGTAGGTTAAAAATTAAAGCACAGTTATACAGAACATATTTTTCCTTCATGCTGAAGGGTTAGATTTTTTAAGATGGATGTCTTGTGGGTTACTGTGCTGTATAGTCTGGTAGAAGTTTACTGACATTTCAGGGTTTCTTAAACATTAGTAAACTTCTACCAGACTGCATGGCGCAACAACGCAAAAGACAGATGTCTTCAGACTTACTGTAGTGAAAACCTCAAATCCTGGTTAGTTTTCTCAATTCAGTGCTCAACTTCCATGATTTAAACTAAAAAGTCTCAGCGTTAATTTACTTCAATAAAAGTCTTTCTTAGTTCAGTTTCCAGATCTGTTTTTCTGTAATGTAACCAGTAAATACTTTTCTCTTGTGTAAATCTTGTTTTTTTCCCCATGACAGTTCAGTTGACAGTAAGAACCATTAGATTATTTGAAGATTTCTGTCTTCTGGGTCGTTGCGCTGTGTAGTCTGGTCGATGTTTACCAACGTTTCAGAGTTTATACTGCCTCCATCATCAGGGTGATGGATTTACGCTCTGATGACAGAGGCAGTATGACCTCTGAAAATCGACCAGACTACACAGCGTAACAACCCAGAAGACAGAAATCTTTATACTCACCACTGTGAAACCTCAAATCTTACATTAGATTATTTGTTATCTATTGAACACTAAAATAAAATATTGTTTATATAACTTAATCTTTTGTCCTGCTCAGATAGGCTGAAGATAGAAGGAGTACTTATCAGAGCACAAAAGCACTCACATAAAAGTGACAGATATATTGTCTCACATTATTTTCACATCTTTGTTCCAGAGGTTGTGCTTGTAATTTTAATGGGAAAAGACATAAACATTTTTTAAAGGATTTATGTATGTGCATATTTAGTTTTTATTTACAATTTTGATGCCTTGTTAGTAAAGTAGTTTCCATAGTGATTTTATTCTGCATGTATATGTATTGATGTATTCCAGGAAGCAATGTTGAAGCTTATGCAACCAACACCAACTTTGCCACCTGGTCATCCACTACTAGCCTATGAATACACAGAGAGTGACCGGTGGAGTGCAGAAGAGATGGATACATTCCACCAGGGACTGCTTAAGTATGACAAGGACTTCCACAGTGTGGCAGACGAGGTACTGTCAGAGTTAATGCCTTTATCCATTACTCTCTGGAAAAGCATTTAAAGAATAAATGTTCTGGGTGACACCAAAAAATGATACTTTTTAATGGTAAAATAATATGGCCCCATGGGTTTGAATTAAATGCATGTAAATTGTGTTGAACATGCCTAGGCGTGTGTAGAAAGTGGTTTATTTAGTTTGGTTTATTCATTACAATAACTAACTCCATGAAGAAGGGTCCTTCTTGAGAAGCTCATAGTATGCTCAGGCAGTTGATAAATTCTCCAACTTTTATAGATCCTGAAGGTTTATTACTGTGTTCATTTCACAGAAAAGTATTTCCATTTTGAAAAATTGGTATTTTATTTAATAGTTAGTTTTGAATTGGACTCCCTTTTCTTGGATTATGGCTCAAAACCATCTTTCTCATTGCTTGATGGCTGATCAGATGTTGTCTTATGATATGAGAGGCCACACATAAAACAGTTTGTGTACGAAAACCAGAGAGAACTGTTTCAGGCCCTGGATTTAACTGTAACGAAAAATGACAGTGGAACCACGGTTCCAGAGAATCTGACATAAGTATGCAAACGCAGCAGTAGCGTGAAGTGTGATGCGCCTTTATTTGTATAAATAAATGTTTGTAGAACCTAAACCATTTGTGATATGTAAAATCTGAAAACAGATATGGAAAGCTCAATAGGTAATACGTATTTTGTACGCAATATGTCCGGATCCATCTCTTACGGTATTCGAGAGGCGGGCACTTAACGTGCCAGATGAATTGAAAATTGCACACATTGGTTCATTAAAATTACAATAAATGTATAAACAAGTATAATTACAATAAAATACATTACAGATTCTTAAAGGTCTTTATTTACTGATCATTTTACATATAGGTTACATTACCCTTACTCTTATCATTCCTGAGGAATGAACGTTTAAATGTGACTCGGCGCTGGATCTTACACATCTTCATAACGCTGTTTTTGCCGAATGACCCTTCCGTATAGACGTATTTACATCAAAAAATGAAAATGTGTCACCTCTTGTATCACAAGGTAATATTTGATCTACCATTAGCATCTCAACTTACAGGTTTCTTTCAAATCCATGGAGCCATTTATTTTTTCCATTTTAAATGCTACTTTCTGTTGTGTCACCCATATATTAATTTATTATATTACTTCATGATGAAGCAATAAGACTTACAGTTTAACTCTCCTATATTTTAAGTGTTCCTTCATTTAGTCAATATGTATTGAGTTCTGTAATACTTGTCTCAGTGATTTGATTTATTTAAGTACCCTACATTCAGTTACCTATGTAAAATTGTGCCTAGTTCTTTGTTTCTGCACCTCCTTTATTTGAAACACTCATATTTCATTAACAAAGATCACCAGTGCAACCAAATGCCTAGTGAATAACACCTGAATTATTTGCATAAAGCCATTATGTTTGTGCATGTTTTACTGTTTTAAAATTTAAGATGAATTTTAGCTATAATAATTAAGAACAATTTACCAAATATGAATCCAGTATGCAACAGGAAATGATCTACTAGACACATCAAACTTGCAGCACAGCATGATTACATGTAAATAGTGTTCATTTTATGATATTGTCGTGGGACTGGATATTAACTGCAGAGAATAGTTTAATTTTATGGGTTGAGTTCCAGTTAAGTGCAAAAACTTCTTCCTACACAAACTGAATATTAGCACTTTTAGCAAACTCAACACTGAAAATATGCCAGTAATTTGAATGTTTGAATTTAAGCCTCTACCTAATGATATAAGATATAGGCATCATACCTCTGACATGATTATGTTAGATGTGAATTGCTTTTTGTGAAAAAGGTAGCTCATGAGTGTCTGGAATGGCTAATGAAAATCATAGAAATGTATCAGTCAAGGTAGCTGGTCTCTATACCTCACAAATATGAAGCTTATATGCCAGCTGTTCAATTGCCACATTTAGTAAAATATGTTACAATTTCACATGTAAACACTATTTGAAAGCACTCAAGTGATGTAGAGTCTGGAAGGATGGGAACTTGGACTCAATCTGGATGTAGCAATGATGAAAATATCCCCACCCTTATCAGGAAACTAGTCACAAGTCACTTTAATTACCAGACTCTCTCAGCTACTGTTCATGGTGTAAATTATCAAAATAAATATTATTTTAACAATATTTCAGATTGGCTCAAAGACTGTGAAGCAATGTATCCAGTTCTATTACTTATGGAAGAAGGTGTGCTCAGAAGAGTACAAACGCCTACGCCTGATTCGTCGGCGACAAAATGCTGATTATGGCACACGTACTGATGTAGAGTATGAGGACATCAAGATGGATGACTCCCGCATTCCTGTAAGTAGATCTTACTATAATATAAAACCTTTGTGTGCCAAATATTACAGTCTTTAACCTGTATTTTAGGCACATTTGAAAGTTTTCTGAGATGACATTCTTGTGGGTTGTGATGCCATATGGACCTCATACGCAAATACCAATATTTCAGATAAACATATTGTCTGCATCTCCAGAACTATGTTGGGGTGCTAGAACATGGATAGTGTATACAGAGTGAGAAGAAGGGCTAGGCTGGAGGGAAATTAGTCAGTCAGAGTTGATGAAAGTCAGGTGAACTAGGTTTGGGTGTTGGGGGGGGGAGATTAGCCTTGAGATGATATTTAATTTATTATTTATATCTGACACTGAAAGTATAATTCCATATTTAAAGATTCTCAGATTTTTATGGAAAAGCTTCAGTCAGGATAATTGGTCTTCAGGCTGAGATTTTGAACCTGGTACCTCCCGAATATGAAACAAGTGTTAACCACTTGGCCATGATGTTCAATCTATTCAGACCATGTCAGTACAAGTATAAGTGATATTGTTTTTCGTTGATTGCTTGGAGATATAAGACAGTGCTGTATAAATTGGCTGATGGATTTTAGAACACACAAAGCATGCAGATTTTAACAAAGATTTCTTTCAAGTAGAAAGTACTATAGATCACTGAAATACAAAATGTTACTAGCATAATTTAAAAATAGTCTTGAACATTATGTTTAAGTTGTGAGCACTCCTACATCATATTTTGGAGGTTCTATGTTTGATTCTTAGTTTTGGCTGTCCTGAGGTGGCTGTTCTCAAACCCTTCAAGAAAATTCTGAGATATTACCTTAAAATAAGCCATGTGCACTTTAACACCATATAAGGTACAACAGTTCTCGTATGTCTTCTGAGCTGTGCTCCCAGGCTGCACTGGATTTGGCATGGTCAGGTAAAGATTCAGAGTAGCCTGGTGCTGCAGTAGCCATCTCAAAACACAGACTGTTGTGGATGGACTGTTCTGATTATTTCTCGATCCATACTATGTGTTGTATCTTTCTTTGTGTGCTTCACCCTCCATTATTGCCATTATTCCTGAAGTTAAATCTTGGTACCATGCGTAACTAGAAGGATGGACGTAACAGAAGAGATTGTCTTTTTGGAATGTATGTTCATGCAAATACAGCATATTCCCCTCTTCGTCACTTTACCCACACTGATAGCTCACAAGTCATCTGGTGACTACTGTATACAGTTAAGTTTTTTTTAATGAACTAAAAAATAAACTAAAACGAAAAAAATTAAGGGTAATTCTCATAAGAAAAATTATCGAGTATTCTTACTTACACACAACTCTTGCAACAATTTTTATATGTATTTGCCTTTACATCTCATGCAACATACAACATTTTCACTAAAGAATATGCATAAAGTAGACTTTTTGTAAGCTCCTGTGAAACTCAGAAAGATTCTTCTTTGCCCTTTGTATGAAAGTACTGTGTAATTATACATACATTTTTTCATTGTTTTCAGGCCAGTGATGTGGAATTGGTATCAACTAGTTCAGAGAGTCGACTGTTTGTCTGTGAATATCCTGATTGCTCAGCTGTATGTATAACAGACTCACAGTTAAGACTTTTGTATCTTGCTGTTATTTCACTTTTGTGAATATAATAAGCAAAATTTTTATGTTTGTTGCATGAAGTACATAAACTTAAATGCATAATGGGAGGTCATGTACATCTATTTAATGTCGTGTTTTATTTTTTAACCCACTGACTGGGTTTTGATGAAATTTGGTGTTTGAGTCTACAACAGAAGTTTCTAGAAAATTTAATTGGCCTTTGTAACTCTTTTGTAATGTTAAAAATGTCTTTGGTATTTTTAAAGAACATTGCTCATATGACTTGTGTAGGATTGTACTCCACTAACCTCTCATTGGTTTCTGCATTTTCTTTGTTGTGAGTTTCTGTGTTGTAGAGGTATCTTGAGAATATGTACTTAATTTTTGTCTCAGGCAGATATAACATGAATATGGTCATAATAGTTTATAAAGGCCAAAATATCTAGGATAAGTAATGTGTGTTTGTTTACATGTGTTAAGGATATTTTAAAATTGTTTATGTATTTTATATAATTTATTACTTTCCTTGTGCATGCACTTTTCTAGTATGTAGACTTTTTGTAATGAGCACATAAAGTAGAATCCCTATTTAATGTTTTGTTTTAATGGATAGTTAGTTTCAATATTAAATTTCCTCACTTTAAGGTTTTCTGCAGTTAGTATTCAAACATTTTTTACCTAGTAAAAGTAAAGCTATCCACCTACACATAACAGAGGTGCTTGCGGGGGAGGAGATATAGCTCCTGTTTGTTCTTGGCTGTGGATGAGTAGTTAGTATCACACCCTGGCCATGCTTTACCCTTGGGCATAAGACTGCTGGTACCTAATGGACAGGAGGCTGGGTTGGCCCCAGAGCTGGTCTGGATGCAGAGGCTAGAACAGAAATCCTCTCTCCCTGTCAGGGATCGAACTCCATTTGTCCATTCTGCAGTTAGGCACTATATGATTAAGCTACCCCAGCTTATTATTGTTGCCCAGGGAAACCTTAAATATTAGTTTCATCTGCATGTATATTTCTGTGGAAATATTTGTAGCAGAGCATTAATATTAAATTTAGATATTCCTTTTGTGTAGATACCATACTTTCCTCATCATTCTCAAGTTTCATAACTTAAGCTTTTTCTAGTAATAGAAGATCCTTCCATGCAGAAATATGAATGTATTATGTCACAAGAAGTAATCTTGTGATCTGTCTATTCTGATCCCAAACGCTTAATGAAGTTCCTCACCACACATTCATGTTTCGTCTTGCAAGGGTCTTCTAATGGTCAGTTATGTCTTTTAATATATAATATGATCATCTTCTGGGTTTACAGAGTTTTAACTCCCGTGCAGCATTGAATGGCCACATACGAATTCATGGTGGTGGTGGTGGTGTATGTGGACGTTCTCCCACCCCAGACAAGCGTCCAACTACTGCAACCCCTCCCACACTTGGAGATATTATTGAGGAGTTTCCATGCAAGATTTGTGGGAAGTAAGTGAATGCCTACCAATGTTTACGTCTCTCTAAAAGATTGACACAAGGTAAATTTCTCATTCGTCTTTATGCCTGGTGTGCTTCTTGGACTGCACCCCAATCTAACCTAAAATCAGGGTTGGCAATTTTTCATACTTTGAAGATAATTTCAAACACACTTTAATTTTTTGTGTGAGCAACTTTTTGGCAGAGTTTTTTAACCACATCCTTGTGTTCTGCAGTCATTAATAATGATAATAATGATTTCCATCCAGAAGTTCCTGTGATATCTGATTGCCAGCCCTTTTGGTTTCTACCTGTCCCATTGATTATTCTGGTTGTTCTGCCTGCAAGGAAATGCCCACCCTGTGTGAGTGAAGGCTTCAACCCCTCAGCTGTATGCACTGTGGTTGTGCAGACGAGACTTGTCACAGCCTTCCAGGTCATTCCACCCATTCCACTTACTCAGTAAGCCCTTGTGTTGATTTGTGAGCAGTATAACATTATTGTTTGTCATATCCTAAATACTTTTAAATGCAAGAGATGGAAGAATATTTTATAAAGTTATTACATGTTGTCTCTCTTAACCTGGACTTTCACTGCCATTATCCTGCAGTCCAATTTGATGTCAGTTGTTAGTCTGGCATTGTGCTGATTGGTACCTGGTGAACTGTGACGCATGTCATACTTACAGTAATTTCAGTATTTTTCATAGTGAGAATATCATCATTATATTAATTTAAATTATATATGAAAACAGAAGAAGGACTTGATGTGAACATGGATAAATATGGTAATCCTACATATGAGAGACAACATGAAGATGAAGGGAAGGCAGAGAAGAATATTAAAACATGCTAAAAGATGTACACTGGCCACTTATAAGTCTGAATGCAGCACTGGTGTACAATATCTGTAAATCTCATGTGCAGTGCAATTTCTGTCCCTAAGATACTGATAAATTCCAGAGTGATAGAAAAACTGATGATTCTTTCCAAGCACATTAGCATAGTAGCAACATGCCTGACTTGTATCTGGGAGTCATCCACATCAAATCTTGGCAGTGGAACTGACACATGATACATGTTAAATTAACATTGTTTCATGGTATTAATCAATTTGTCCTGGAGAATGCCAGGAATAGTGCCTTTAAAAAGGCTATGACTTCTGTCTTTCCCACCTTCAACACTGTTAATCATGTTCTCATCATACTTAATGCTGTACAACCTCTCCAGTTGAAACAATATCATTAAATAATCTATGAATCAATTACAGTCAGTCAAAGTTCCCTCATCTTAATGCTGACTGTGGAACATTTTATTGTTTATTGATCTGTATATTACTGTTCAGTTAAGACCTTACAGTTACTGGATTGATGAACTAATTTATGTATTATTTGTAATATTGATGTATTTTTAATTGTACATCATGCCAGCTTCTGTGCAGGGACAAACCTCATGTCATTCTTAATGAGAAATGTTTTTAGAGTTAAACATGATTAGTGTCTTAAAACAATGATGCAACATGGTCATAAAACTAATGTTTTGGATGCATTTTGTAATTTCAGAGTTTTTAATAAAGTGAAAAGTCGTAGTGCTCATATGAAGTCACACCGCCCTCCAGATGCTGAACCAAAGAAAGCAAAGCTGGATCCTCACAAGATGGAAGCTGCAGAGCAAACTCTAGGACGAGCCATGGGTGTGAGTACAACCATTGGTCGACATACCTGAGCACTTTCTTCCAGTTATCATCTCTTACCTGTCGTAGTGCTGTAGGTTGATATAACCTAAACTGTGCCATGGGTGATACAGCAGGCTGTAAAGCTGAAGATGTGCCATAAAATGACACAGTTTGTGCCAGAGGAATAAAAACATTTTAAAATCACATTCATTGCCATGAAAATGGCTGAAATTCATCCAGCATAAACAGTTTATGATGCCAGTATGCATATTTGGAGCAACGACATCTACTGGCATGCTAGGTGTAGGAGGTTTTTTAGTAAAGGTTGGTGAAATATAATTTATAATTCCAAATGGCACTTGCATCATATTATCAGAAAGATTGCACCTCAAACTGTGTGTGTTTCTTTTTTTAATTGTGCTCAATGAAATATAGCCTCTCTACTTTTATCAGTCATCTTCCTATTCTTCTGTACATCTTCATCAATTTAATTTCCATTCTTCAACTTAAAATTAATATGGTACAAGTTTTCTTGCCAGAATATGACAGACTTCCTGTTTTGAACAGTTTGGCCCTTTATGTGTATATGTTCTATCAAAGTGTTAGCCAGCAGCTTCTCAAGACAAATAACAAAGGGTGAAGTGGAGTGATTCTCTGAACATGTCTACTATATAGACTCTCAAACAGGAGAGAGGAACAGAGTCTGCTGTATACTGCAGACATAATCTCTGCCAGAATCTCTTTGCAAGGCGCAACAAAGCCCTGATTGACAGTATTATCTTTCAAACAGATGTGTAGAATAGTGTTTGGTTCTAATCCACATGTTTTGCTGTCTTGGTTTTTTAAAATAATTATTTCTAGCTACAGTTTTTGTATAAAGCCGTTATGTTGTTAGCTATATACATTTAGACTATGATTGCATATGTATACACATAATACATTTTTGTTATACCAATACCAAAGTGCGGAGTGTACTAAGTATAGTGTAAAGTAAAGTGCCTTGTGACTGGGTAAAATTTGAATGTTACCCAGATCCAAACTGCTACTCAAATATGAGTTGGGTCATGTCAAGTTGAGGTGAAATGATGGAATGATTGGCGCAGCAGCAGACAGACAAGGTGCAAGGAAGCAATACATTACACACAGGGTAGGGTCAATATAATGTTTTCATAAAACAGCATTACTATGATGAGTGCATGTTGTTGATAATAGAACTTATTTCATGCATATGGAGAAAGTTTAGATTGAGAGTAAATTTGAAAAGCTGAACACAATTTTTCAGTATCTAAAAGTTTATATCTTCATACCAGTGTTTTCCAAAGTCTGTGACTATGATTGTACTACTTTATTCTGTGAAATTATGAACTCTTTCAGTCCTGTGATGCCTCAGCACATCACTAGTTGCATCATATATCATCTAAATTTTTTTACAGATGTGTGTTTGGTCTGAAGTACATGTTTTCATTGTCATTAGGTAACAAAAGCATGTGTATTTCTGCTATGAGGACGTTTTATTTCTATGTAAATAGTATATCATGAGTTCAGCTTAATTGTGTGTGGTTATGTTCTAGGGGATAATGGGATTATCAACTGCCAGTGCTGTTAGAGGTTATATTGTTGGAGTTTGTTCTGTCTTTAAAATAGCCCATTTATGAGAATAAGCACAACAGATTTTAAATTTAAAATCTAATGACATTAAATAATTGTTTTAACACAAAATACTCCATATGTTGGAAATCACTTATCTGGTTTTTTAAAAGATTTATTTGCTATTTTCCCATACTATAATAACCAGTGTATTGTTTTGTTTCATACATTTAAAATTAATACCATTTAAAATGTACACTTTCAGTACATTTAACAAGACATACATAATTGAAGGTGTTTCCACGTTAAACATAAACAGTTTCTCACTAACAGTGCTTCTAACAAATTATTTCCAGTTCATCATTTATGATCAACAAGTCTTAAACGAGAAATCTGTGTTATAAAACTGACAGATAAACATCACTGCCATAATATGGGGTGATTATCAGCAATTTAGATAGCATTTTTATTTTTCATTTTGCTGGATGAATGCAGTACAATATTATGGCTACCCCTGCAAGGTTTTAATTGAGGCTTGGAGAAAACATTCTATTTTCTCTTTTATATGTTTATTTAATATTTGAATGGCTGTCACTTTTCACCCCATTGTGTGCATATGTGTGCATGCACACGTGAATATGTGCTTGTGCATGCATGGCCATGGCAGAGTAGTTAAAGATGAGTAAGTCCACCAACTGTCCACTTCTTGTTAAATTGAGCATCGATCCTCTTTGTTAAGTCATTTGAATGTTAATCCTGGTTAATGTTTGTTTCAACAAATTTGCTTCACATTAATTTCTTTCACCGTTGATATCATCACCACTAATCTTGATATAATCACCACTAATCGTGCCTATGTACCATGATTTTTGTTCAGCTTTGCTTTCTTGAAAATTGATGACTAACTGAAATGAACTACAACCCAGTCATTGTCTTTTAAAACATTCCCTTTCATGTTTTGTACTACAACTAAAAGAGGCTCCCTGACTTCCTGTTCTCTATGTGGCTTTGATTTTGGGGCATCTTCTTCTTTTGTTGTTGCTGGAGGGTCATCTTTGTATCCATTCTCTTCTTCACTTTGTAGATGTCAATCTCTAACATTTTTTCCTACTTCAACATTGAGCCTTTTGTGGGAACTTAGCATTTGTGCTAGTATCATCATATCTGTCATCTTGTTCAAGAGTTAAGATTGCATCATCCAACAGTTTGGCATATTATACACTATCAGCATGTTTGACTGCAGGAATTCTTCATACAAATTTTTGTGAATTAAGAAGAATAATCCCACATTTGGTGAACCCTGTAAGGAGAATTACTTTTTTCATGTTATTTCATTTTTAAATTTAGCTACCTCGGTGCAAGTGGAAGGTCATCTTTTGGAATGGTAGATTGATTTCTTTCACTTCAAGACAGTTTCTCAACCAAGTTGCTTTAGTCAGTGAAGGCCACATCAACTGGCTGTGTTACATGTGTACAGTTACTCAGCAAAAATATAAATTCTATATCATGATTCTCACATATCTGAATTACCATTTCTGTAAAACAGGACCTTGACCACAAGCATAACATCATCATCTACCCAGTCTTCAAAACAGTATGAATCAAAATGGCTGTATTCTGGGTTGTTTCACCATGTAGTGTGGTAGAAGTTTACCGACGTTTCAGAGGCACCCTCTTTGGGTGTTATTTATGCTCTGGCATGAGGAAATAACGTATTTGAGCCCATTCATATTTGTGTGTCAAATTTTTTGTGAGGACTGAGCGACTCACATGATCTGGGGTTATTGTTAGAATACACATTTGCAACAGTCGAAACAAGTAATTGTTAACTCAACAATTACCTTGGATAAAATTTTTGCCATTAATCACATTTTTGTGTTTGTTATTGCTTTTGAGTAAGAATGATACACATCAAGCTTTTTAGCAATAGTTATCAATGGAGTAACCTGCTGACTTTACTTCCAATGCTGTGGCTTAAAGAACATCTTTGGAATTTCAGTGTACTCCATTGAGTACACAATTCCAATCTTGTTACCCCATGTTTTGGTAATGATTAGGAGCAACATTGGAAACCTTTAATATATAGTCCTAAAGTGGTGTATGTTAATAGCTAAATTAAAGGTATTCAACTTTTGCTAAGGTAATGTTTTGTAGAATGCAAAAACAGGTCGCCATGCAATTTGGCTTTCAGTTTAACTATTGACAGTTAATGGACCATTAGAGCTAGGAATGTTAATTTTTTCAAGGAAGTATATTGTAAAGATATCTACAAATTACATGTAAGGAGTATTTACATACATGATGAGGATTCTAAGGTTATATCTGATGAATTTTATGTAATCAGTATCTGTATGGCCAGTCACAGTGGCTGTGTTATCTGGGGTGTGGGCCTTGATCACTTAGACACTGGGATCATGGGTTTGAACCCCACTCCAGGCATGGATATTTGTCTGATCACTGTCATAGGCTGATCACTCATCCAAGGAATCCTACCAAATGTCTAAAAAAAGATTAAGAAACCTCCCATTTGTGAGGAGGCCAAGGTCCTTCAAGGCCTGTGGAGATGATGATAATAACAATAACAACAACAATGACAATAACAACAGTATCTGTATGTAACAAGTTCTTCCAAAAATATTAATGAACATAAGAATATAAAATGATTACAAAGAACAGAGAACAATCTAAAACATTTATTGACAAGGTGTCCTCAAAGAGACAATCTGCATATGTATAACTTGCAGAAATATTGCACCTAGCTGAAGGAATATGTCTTAATGCACTGCTCATGCTGAGAGTAGAAAATTGTCTTATTTGTCTTGTAGGCACATGGATACCAGCAGTGCCCATGATGGAATGGCAGTTTATTTTGCCCTTGAAAACATTAATAAGAAATTAAAGCATCGAGATGTTGTCTGGAATAAAGTGTTCTACAATTTAGACAACTCAGAATCAAATCATAATTATGTAAAACATGAAATTAAAAAAATTATAACACAGACAAATTTTCTTTGTATATTTTCTAAATATCAACAACACCCTAAAACAGCAGTAGCATTCTGTTGTCCATTTACAAATGCAAGCAATAATAGAAACATGTCATAAGTGGGATTTAACCCTATGACCACCTGTGCATGAGCCCATAACATCAGTTACACAGCACCATAGGTGACAGAGCACAAGGTAATGATTACAGCCAGAAGTAACTGGAATTTTGGCCTCTTGGATTCACTGTTCACTTTTTATCTGCACAGTACATTGAACATGCAGTAACAAACTACTAGTTTGGCAATCACTAATAAGATTTTAAATTGTTAACTCCCATCCAAGTGCTGTCTCAACATACATACAGCTGGGATCAGTTAGAATGTCAAGCTGTAAAGGATATGCATGGGATCTCTGTGTAATGTGGTATAGACACTGCAACTTTCCAATCATCTTATAATGTATATAGCTCCTGATAACTGTATAGAAAGTTGTGTACTTTTGATTGAAAAGGCAGAGCTGAGAAATACATACTGGAAATTTGACAGGAAAGTAGCAAGAAAAGTGTCAAAGTGGGCTTAGCTAGTAAAGATGATAGCCTCTTACAAACAGACAGGCAGGCCATACAGATGCATCAGATTGATGTGTGTATATGCAAGTTCTTTTACAATTGACACTGTCTAATCTCCATTTAATTTATTTTTTCTCAATGTGTGTTCTCAAATCCTCTTGCTTCATTTACCCACTTCTTAGATCTATCACATCTTTACCTTTCTGGATGATTCCCATTCCACATCTTGTTTCAGACAGTCATTAAAGATTTCCATAATCCATCAATGTTTTCCTTTAAATGGAAATGAAAATTCTGATTCATGAATTTAAATACATTTCACTAAATGTTTCTTTTATTAAACCTGTTAAAACTATATATAAATACAAACATGGTCTTATTTATTCCACCACCACAATCACCCCCTCCACCAGGCTGTATGGTAACTGTCCATCAGCTGTGCCATGTATGAGTACAAAAGCAGTGTATGAAGTGGGAGATAACATAGTGAATTTTCAGATTGTTCACACATTTCCTTCTCTGATATTACTGTTTGCTAATATCCTCCCCAGTGTTCATAAATAATTGCTAATGCAAGTAATAATCTTCATAAATAATGAGAGAATTTCACTTCCAGAAATTCTCCACCATAATCATATACAGGTATAGCTGGTTAAATTGAGTACAAGATCCACATCATCTTCACAGTTATAATAATCTAACCATTTAAATGCAGAACATTACATCACCATCACAGCAATTGAAGAATTAATCCCTCAGTAAACACAGAGTAGCTAAAAGCAGGACATGACATAATGAAAAAGGCTTTCAGTTCTAAGTTTTATGCTATTTATCTCACTGTATCCAGCAGAAAACACCAGCCCTCATTGCCACATGTCTCTAGTTAAAAACCAGCCAAATGTATAGCAGAATTTTTGGATACCTTTCCTATCTCTCGTCTCTGACAAATTCAAAATTTTGTGAATGTGACAAATTATTGGGTTTATAACTTGGACACAATCACAAATATAAAGACAAAGGGTAAGATACATGTATGATATGAAACAGCCACCCACAAACTCTTTTTGTCAAAATGCTATACAAGCGTATGCCATGATATGATGGGGTTATGTTCTTAAAAAATGTGGTTGTATTGTGAGGTAAGTTTTCCCATGGGCTTGTCTGTTATAAACTAAGATACATTCCAGAACTTGTAGAAAAATTGTTAAAGACTGCCAAAAATGCTATGTAATGATAAACATGATGGAACAATCATTAAATTTATCAAAGGCAATTAATTAATTAATAATAACCTCAGATATGTAATAATCAAATTACCCAGAAAAATAAATACAATCTTTTATAATAAAATACAGACCCAGTGAAACAAGTTGTGAGGCTTTGCAGAAGTGAATACTCATTCTTTTCATGATAGTGTTAGTTTTTCAACTTTAGAGAAAAGCTTATCTAACTTCAATTGTACAGCAGCCTTCTTCTCTTCATGCAGCACCTTATAGCATGCCAAATCTTTCTCAACATATCTGTGCACCTACAAAATCCTTTCTGCAATAGCATCTTCTTGCTCAATCATATATATAAGCTCATTCACTTCCTGCAAAAATTAAATAAGACTTTTCAATTCAGTCATCTGATTTGTCATCTTCCAGTGGTGCACTGGATTGCTGAAGTCCGATGAGGTCTTTGTTGGCCAGTGATTCCTCAGAATGAGATGCAATTCATTCATCAACATCTGTTGTGTCTGGTTCTAAATTCAATTGCCACCCCAGGTTAACAACATCATTTGTGTTCTGTTCTGGAATCTCTTCAGTATCTTGGAACATCTGTCACAATTGTGGGAAAAGTTATCTTCATGATCATGGATGCCTTAAATTCTGCCTACAAATCTCTAATGTTATTAACTCCATTCCATATGTTGTAACCCTTCCAGAATTCTGTAAGTGTTGGACCAGCTTCATTGCCTGTTGCCACAATTGCCTGGGTCTTTGTGCAACATGCACAGTTCAAGATGGTGTAACAAAACAAACTGGTAAGCCTACTCGTTTGCCCAGACCAAAATCATATGTCTTAACATAGGGACCTGCCAGGGAACATTATCAAGGCACAATGGTCATATTGGTGGGTTCGTTATATTATGGGGTGGTCAAAACCTGCGGTATGCCGGTACTAACTGATCAGTAAACTGCTTGATATGAGCAGTGAATAGTTATTTACCTGTTCATGATATTTGGTTTTTGTGGAGGTTCATTACTGAAATCACTGATTCCTATCCTGAGCCTGCCCATTCATTTCAGACCATCATAACCTAACCACTTCACTGAGAGTCATTTTAATAATACTTTAGTTCCCCAAGTGATGCATTTTTTATTTGCCCTTTCATACCTCATGTGAAGCTTGTCTCAGCCTGCTTGATTAAATTTCCCTAATAATACAACATTAACTGTACTGACTACTATGTAGTGGTCACAGTAAATAATGAAAATATGTTCAGAAATTACATACATAAACACAGGAGAATTTTATCTGTAAATATTAAGTATATGAATAATTACATGCTATGCAAGTTAAAGAAGAGTATCAGCTTGAAATATATTTTAGTTTTAGAAAACTAGTATAGCATTGTGTAAAAGGATTAAATGGGCATTAACAGGACTTGGGAAAGAATCAGAGATAATGTAACATTTCAATGGAAGAAAGTCTTTAACTGTTATAAACCAAATAAGAGTGTTAAGTCATCAGGATGGGGTCCTGTTGTTGGTTCTTGTGAATGTGGTAATGGGACTGTGCGGAACTTCATTTTTTTATAAGCAATTAATTATTTTAAAAAAATCCAATGCTGTTTTGTTTTGTGTCATCCTTAACACACTTATTAAATGTTATCAAATACAAAAGAAATGGTCTTGATATGAACCATAAATTCCACATTCTAAAACAAAATTAAGATAATGAAGTAATGGGCATCACTTCATATTTATAGATCACAGTTAGGATCTTAGATGGAATTAGCTGTCCTGAAATTTCTCATACTTTTCCACAGTCATTTCAGGGGTGCAAGGAAATTTCTCCAACATCAGCACTTATTTAAACTACATTACTTATTTTAAACCTATATATTTGATGTATATTTAACAAAATATACAAAATTGTGTCCTTGTGTAATGTAAACTTACTGGTGGACTAGCCTGAACAAAAAATATATATGCTTTGCAACTTCCAAAGGCATGAAGCAGTTTCAGAGATGGAATGTAGATGAAGAGGCAGGCAGACAGACAAGACAGAATTCCTCATGATATTTTTGTTTTGTGTGTTGCATATAAAATATCTAATAAATCAAATGTCTAAATACAAGTTTATCTGAAAAGACAATCCAACATGAAACACTTGGTAAATTCAAAAACAAAGAGAAATTATATTAATATATCATATTGCTATCCTCAGTCTGATAAATTCCTCGAGTTTATTATCTAGTTATGTGTGGGGAATAAACATTGAAGGCATTTCTCTTCGATGGTCACAGCACTGGAAACACCTTTGAATTGTATTGCAGTAGAATAGCAGCCAAATGAAAAGATTACTTGTTAGGAGGTAAGAATATTCTTCCATGTGTAGATGGTTATATAGCGTTTACTCGCAGCATCAGAAACTCTCAAATTTAAACAAATGTTGTTTTGTTTGAAAAGAAATATTGATCCCCCATGTGTACATGTGCATGTACATATATATACAGTTTGTGTATTTATATGGTGGAATACATGCACATACTGTAGGTTTAGCTTGGTACAAAAGAGATTTGTTTCCTGTTTTAAATACAGTAAAATATGTTTCCTTGGCTACAAACTTCCTTTCAGGTTTTGCTGCCAGATACTTTGCTCTGTGTTGTGATAAATACAATTTTATTGTGTCTTTTTAACTATGTACAGGTCAGCTGACAGGAGGAATGCATGTACCCCACTATAATGACAATCCTCTCTCAAGAGTAAATAAGTTTTAACTAAGAGTTTTAGTGTATGAATATGTGGTGTATGATAGTGTACATGTGAATGCCTGTGTATATAAATCTATTTAAAGAAGAGCAGGATCTATATATTTTATGTTCATTGTTGAGGCTGTATCAGTTACCTAAGTTTTCATAACTATTGTGAATCATAGCTTTTAAGAATAATAGTAATAATAACAATAAATAAATAATAATAATGATAAAAATTTCCAGGTTAGGTGAAACTGTTAATAAAATTGTTGTTAGCGGATGGATATTGTTAGTTAGATTCCTCTGTCAGTTGACTTCCTCTGGTGTTTGTTGTTATGTATCGGGTGCTAAGGTCACTTCATTGTTAAAAAAATCATTATTGTTGTGTGAATTCTTGTGTACATCAGACGTTACAATGAACTTTTTCAGTGTGATTTCAAAAAACAGAAAACAATCAAGTAATATTGCTGTGGTCTTTCAAAAAAATAATTACCTGATAATGTCAAAATAGTGTTTTAATTATACAGTAGATTTTTAACAATCAATAGTATTAATCTATTGTTCATGTGCCTGGATTTGTATCTGTGCCAACAATGACTGGAGTGTGGAAAGGGACACATGTTGCAAAATGATCTCATAATCATGATGAGCCATGACACTCGAGCAACTCTTTCCGACCGAGTTTTGTATAGTCAACCATACATTTACTCTAGTACTTAAGTTTTCTGCCAAAAAAGAGATACCCCTGTGTGCAGTGAAGATTAGGGAATAAGCATGCAATAAGCTAGCTCATTATATTGATGTACGTATTAATTCTATGGTGGCAGCATTTCTTCCTTAGAGCTGCTGTGTAATTATCCTGACCAACCCCGTCCCCTTCAGCCCAAACCCAACCCTGACCCTTGCTCATTATGGATCCCATGCTCTGCTCATTCTCCAGTATGAATGTAGGCGATGTATATCGCTTATATTTGGTAATTCTTCTTCGTTTCACACTCAACACTACAGAGCACACATTTAAGACTCAATAATTATTGTATGCCATATTACGATGTATTATAGCTCAAGATTATACATATTTTTTTGTTTAAATGCTATCTCACAATTTTCACTTCCTAGATGACAAAATTAATATTTCTGTATGTAGGATGGTGAGGCCAATACCAGAGTGTTCAACGGTACTAGTCGAAACTTTTGCTGTTAGGTTTGTACTTTGTGATCCAGACTACATGGAAGAACAAACGTGTTGTTAGAACTGTGAAGTGTCTCGTTATATATTTAACTTGTTTTCTATGATCATTGAATATAACTGACAAATGTGTACTTTCCAAATTCATATAAATTCAGTTATTGCTTTCCATTACTTCCACTTTTTTGAAAGGATGTGTATATTTTTATGCACAGTAATGTTTGTTGTTTTGAATATATGTGCTATTAATTGACTTGCAACAGGATGTTGTACTTATTACAAATTTAAATCCAAATTTTGTAACCAGATGTTTGAGCCACTATTGACTGTGCTTGGCAGATCTGACTGCATCAGCTTGCCACTCACATAATAAGAGCAGGTCTTATGTTTATCACAATTTGTGGAAGGGTGGGTACTGATTTGCACAAGTTCTTTCTCACTTGTATGGAATCTATAAAAATGTATACTTTGTTAACTGTTCAATAAAATGTATGAAGGTTTATAATATCAAAGGGCTATTATTACTTTGATTCAGAGTGAAATGTGGTAGGATCTTGATATTTACTTATATTTATGAAACAAAATTGGCAATAAACATATGTAGTGTTGTTGATTTAAGTAGGAGTTAATACCCTTTGCTATTTTCACTCTTCATATGTCTACAGTTTGTACACTTGGACTTTTTATTTTAACTTATTAGTTTTACTTTGCTACAGTAGCTTCTTAAGACATTTAATGAAGCTTTTACTGGTACAACCATACAAATTAAAATGTACTGCTTACACTTATACTTCAATAAAATATTAACAGCATATCACTCACTACACAGGTATCTTTCAGCACAAATCATACATAAAATTCTTCCTAATACAAATGCATTCATATCTTGCTGTCTTTTATCACAGAAGGATTTATAATTTTCACATGGCTGATTGCCCAAGAAAGACTTCACTACATTCAGTGACTATGAAAGCTTCAAATCTTACAGATTACATCTCATTTTATCTTCTCTCTACATCTCAAGAAGAACATATTAGTAGCACTATTTTTCTTTTAGCTTGATTGAAATTTGATTTTATATGGTGAAATTGTTGTGATGTATCAGCATACTTATTTGTGGATTCTGCTCTTAAATGCAAGCTAATGCAGTCCTAACCTTCAAGCTGTTCTTAGAGCTACATTATTACGATGTATCCAGTAAGTTCTTCCATGTCATGGAAGATGCCTTGCACAGTAGTCGAATGTAGGCCGCTGCATAGTATTCCATTATTTGGGGTCTATGTTCTACTTTCTACCAACTTTTGACTGCTGCTTAGGATGTATGAATATTGTAAAGTAGTTCAGTACATCTACAATGAGGTCAAATTAAATAAATAAGTGTTTAATTAAGATAAATCTGTGACAATGTCCAGCTACAAAGGCTTATTTGTTCCCAACATTATAAATAATCTTAACCCAAAGTATATGCTGCATGTTATACCTGTTACAATAGACTATATTTTATGAAGCTGCTCTTGAACATTTTTCACTGGGCCAAGACAAATCCATTGCTGTCCATAATAATTATTACATACCAAAGTAATGTCAAAAAGAAATTACTCCAAAACTGAGTTTCATGGTAGTATCTGTGTCATGTACTCTGAAGTAATGACAAACATATCAGTGCTTCAAGGTAAATTAGGAAGGTATAGTTCTCACTGTGGGAACAAGTTCGCCTTTGCTGCCAGAAGCTGGTTTGGAGGAGGGTGTATTATGCACATTCCACTTGTCAAAGCTCAATATATAACCTCCATGAAGCATACTCAAAGGGATTTAAAAATGTACTGTAATTTCATTATTTACAAAAGTATTGAACATCTTTAGGTTGGACTTGGAGATGATGAAATGGGTTGAAAGTCATGCAACATATTTTAAGTAAATTTTACAAATAAAATGACCCCTCCACAAGATGTATGTAACATCATAGGAAGAGGGTGGTTTAGAATTTGGTATGTCAGACCAAAGCTAATAATAAAAGAAGCCCATGTGTCTTGAAGGGAAATGATAGACAATTTGGGTAACCATGCCTTTATCACCCTCTATCTATGAAATCATTTAAGCATCACTACACAGAAGGTAAAGATGACACGAAGTGCTATATGCCACAGTACAAGACAAGTAATCAGATGTATATTATCATGATCTGTAAGCATACTTTTGTGGTGATTTCTCATTAAATGTATTTTTATCTTTGAAATATTTTATTAATCCCGTAGATAATTGTGCAGAGTGACAAATAGCCTACTCCTTTGTGAGCAGTGTTTGCGTGGACAAATTTGTACTTTAGGCAACAAGTTTTACGTGGGTTTTTCTTCCAAGAGTGTTTTATTATTGAGCTTTGTTTTTGAGAGAGATGTGGTATTTTCTTGTAGATATTAACAACTATGTATCCTGTATCCATTTACAGTGATGGACTGAGATCTATACTCCCTTTGGAAATTGAGTTTTACTATTCTACCTTTTATCAAGTGGTCAGTTGAAAATACAATTAAAAATGAAATTGTGCATTCGTTCTTATTGGTGGATGTTCCCTTCATACATTGAACAGTTCCTATTATACATCCAGGTGTACTAAGGAGATTAAGAGGTATCTCAAATATAGGAATATTTTCATTGTATGATTGGCAACATTGCTGATGCTTGTAACTGAAGGTCAGTTGGTGGCATGCTGTGAGTGTGGTTCATAGTCCATTTGTGTCAAGTGAGCAAGGTTATGGTTGCTCCAGTACAGGTTTGCACCAAGGACAAGCAATGTGATGAAGATTTCTGTCTTCTGGGTTGTTGATCTCTGAAACGTTGGTAAACATCCACCATACTACACAGCGCAACAACCCAGAAGACAGAAATCTTCAAACTCATCGCTGTGAAAACCTCAAATCACACAAAGCAATGTGATGTTTGTTTCTTGCTACCTGAAGGAGTAAAAGGGACATACATTGTTCCACATTTTTTCATTTGTGGATGTGAATTTGTGTTCAGATATGCATGAACATCACTGGTTTGGCCATTCACATGCACTTCATGGTGAAAAACAGTTATGTCCAGGTAAGGTTTGATGTTGGTACTGGTGAATATGAATATGGTTGTTTTCTGATTTGTAGCACCATGTAGTCTAGTAGACATTTGCTGTTTCAGAGGTCCTTGCTGCCTCCATCCCAGGACCTCAGAAACAATGGTGAACTTCTACCAGACCAAATGGCACTACAACCTAAAAGATAGCCATCTTAGTTCTGTCCAGATTGGGTAGGGGATTTCACGCCCCTTTCTCCCCTTCAGGGGGGGAAGAAGACACTAGCGCATTTCTTGTCCTCACTTGGCATAAACAGATTACAACTAAACCACATTCAGACCATGACACCATCTGACCTTGAGCTACAGTAATACCAAGCTTCAGCAGAGTTGCCAATCATGCAGTATAAACTTTCCAGTATTGAAGATATGTTTTGAATCTTCATTGTATAACTAATTGAAGCATATATTTCACTTTTCATGCATTTATATTTTGATTGCTAGATGATAAGACGTGACTCTTTGTCGCTGGCATGATCAGTGTGTAATATATCTCCATGTTAAGTGAATTCCTTGTCATAATAGCATGACACTCAGCTTCTGGATGCAGAAGACAGCCTCCAAAGATGGAGGGTAGTTGCAGTTATGGACAGCTGACATGTTGTGGTCCTCCAGCTTGGGTACGTTACTAAGAACCCATCACCACAAGAAGCAGCATGTTACAAAATGTTTCACATGGCTTCAGCCTCGTGGAAAATCTCTGACAAGATGTAATCAACAGAAAATGGATATGAGATTTGGTTTAAAGAAATTAAGTGTGGCACTGTAACTCAATTCACCTGGCTTACTATAGGGATAACTTGTGGGGTGTTGTGAGTTTAGTAAGAGGCAGGGAATTTCTTGACAAGCTGAGCAACTATTTGCTTCTCAATAAACTCTGCTCCATGTTGCCTTGAATATGTAATATAATCTGTCACCATGGAATCAACCCCCATCTTGTGGTCCTGGAAAGGGATGACTTTGTCTCACCTACGCTTGCTATGTCTCCCTATGGACCCAGCTCAGTCTTTACATCATTCTGTCCTAAAAGGCTCATTCCTTCACACTTCCTTTCCTGTCACTCTATATAATCCCTCTGATTTCCAGTATAAGCACACCCCTGTTTACTTTTAAGGCACTGTTTACCATTTCCAGCAGAATGTCTATCTATATATGCCTCTTGTTAACTTCAAGCAAAACAAATGTATCAACCTCAATCAAAGCCTCGGACAGACAGACTTAACAGAGGAGAATTGCGGAGGCCATGTACTGAATATGGACTGGAGAGCCATAGAAGAAGAAACAAATGTATCTCATCATTTGTGAGCACTAAATCATTCCCAACTGAAGTACTGCAGTGAGTCCATTCATGGCCTGGCCAAATAAGCTGGAATTAGCACCATATTTTAGAGACCTCAGCCTAATTCTGCAAAGCACAGAAATAACTCAATTTTAAAGGGTACTGACAGTGTGTAACAATTGAAATCACTAAATTCTTGGCCTACGTCCATCTGTGTTTTTGAAAAAAATACTACGTTTTGGAAGCTGGATCTGCTTCCATCCACAGGTTAAAAAGGGAGGGCAGGGGGCACCTACTCAGTTGGGTCAAATAGAAAGTCTAGTGATTGGGGCTAGCTCTTTCTATCAGACAGAGTAAGTGCCAAGCGACTCTGTCCCCTGTCCTTCCATTTGCGATGTAGAGACCAAGGCATAGTCATCCATTTCCTACTGTACATCGCCCAGTAATGACGGCAGTACGTTCTTCAGAAACGTCGGTCCTTTTTTGCCAAACATGTTTCGTGCTGCATCCTTTAAAACAGCCACATCGATACTTGTCGACTTGAGAACCTCAAACCGCAAGCTAACTCTAACGATAGGGCATTATATTCAGTACTGCAGTTTTCCTAGATTTGATCCATCGTTCAACATTGTAAAAGCAAAGCCACTACGTTACGGAAAGCACGTAGCAGCTTCTCTTTAGAACACTGATCACAGAAACAAATATAGATAAAACTATACCGATATCCAGATTTATGCCTTCAAGGTTTTCATGTGTACTGGCAAAGGAAGCAAAACTGATAAAAATATAGAGTGCCGACTATTATTGCCATCCACAATCGCCTCGTAAAAATTCGTGACACGTCGTCTGTGTGTTAGTGTAATCCATGCATATATATGAGCCGTTGTGTGCCAACATGTTCACACAGACCACTCGGTGGTGAAATCGGCTTCAGCAAAGTGATGGACTGTCACCGATCGCCGCCACAGTTTATCGAACAGCACATTTATCAGTTTTGGTCCTTTGAACAATATCGCGTGTATTATAGGATATGAGGTTTTCACTGCTCTGAGTCCGAAAATGGCTGACTTCTGGGTTGATGCGCCGAGTAATCTTGTAGAAGTTTACAAACTTGTCAAAGATCCATCCTGCGTCCATCATCAGGGCGATGACTCGCCTCTCTCGACTCATTCTGCTACGAGACTGCACGGTCCAACAACCCTGAAGTCAGTCTTTTTAGAGATATAGAATGTTTTGCTAAATTGTGGAGTAGAAATAATCGGTGCTTAAAAGTATTGTGTAAACATATCGTTGCGTAACCGATTTATGGTTTGCTTTGAATTATTCGGTGGCATCAATCGATTACAATTATGGCTGCTACGACGTTAATCTGTGGCTGTTATGGGTTAATTTATGGTTATGATATTGTTGTAGAATGGTTTTGAAGTTTGTGAAATGTTTCATATTAGCTACACATTTTCTGAATATTAGGAACGACAACCATGAGCGGTGGATTAGTCCCTAGTAAAAGTACGGTTTATGTTTCCAATTTGCCATTCTCTCTTACAAATAATGATTTACACAAAATATTCGAAAAATATGGAAGAGTTGTCAAGTAAGTACTTACAGGCAAAGTGTGATTTAAATTAGTATTTCTGTTAAAATGCCATGAAGTATTGGTGAATTAAGGTTAAGATTCTTATAACAGCCAAATTATGGTTAATTTGCTTTGTTTGATCTCTGGTTTCAGTGATACAGTTTAGTGCTGTGATGTCGAATAGCAAAATATAACCTTATTCTTGTCCATGTGAGATTTATTGTTTCTTGTCATACACGGTGGTCTGAATAGAATTAATCTGTTTGACACACTTCCACCAATACATTGTTAATATACTGGTATATTCTGTAATGTTCCTAACCTCAAAATTTATGAATGTTCCAAAGCATTTCTTTTGACTTCCAAATTACAGCCCTTATATGCCAAGAATTCTCAACTACCGCTAGTGGCTGTTCATAACAGATCTCAAAATCAGTTTATGTAAGACACTAATTCCAACAACCCAGCTGTGTCTTCATGCCTAGGTCATCAAGTAGTTGTGAGAATGCCCTCTCTCTTCTTTGGGGTCTTATTTATTAATGACAGTGTACTGTTTATTTCACTGTTAATTAGGTCCCTCAGGTGTGATAATTAGAAATATTCTGTAAGTCATCAGTAAAAATACAGTAATATAATCTGTATGATATTTTCTTTTATCTGTAGCAGTTGGAAATTTGAAGTGCATTCCTTCTTCGTTGGCTTTCCTACATATTTAGATGTCTGGCAATTTTAAGTGAGCTATGGAAATTTTGAGAGAGTGTGGTTTGTTTGTTTAGCAACATTATTCTACTTTTTGTAAGGCATCAGATGCGATTGGGTTGAGAGACTTTTGTAGTGTAAATATATATCTATTTTTTTACAAAGTCCTTACTTATAGAGAAATAAGATTAGTACTCTTTGTATTTTCAACGTGAATTGTTTAGCTACACAATAGTATGTAATCTACAGGTCTTGTGTGGTATCATGCTTTGAAGGAACATAAATTTTAGACATCTGAAGAGTTTTTAAGAAGCTAGTTTGTCATTCAGCTAGTCAAGAAATCACTGCCTTTTATAGAACCTGAAGGTTCATTGTGATGTTCATAGACAACAACACCACTGGCCTGTGTCTTGAATAGTATTCAGACATATTTTGCAGAAATAATGTGTGAGGATGTAAATTTGATTAGACTGATTCAGGATTGAGCTCATTGGCAGGGTTTGGTTTAGTGGTCTTGAATGAATTTTCTGTTTCATTGTTTAATTTATGTATTTCAAAAAGAAAATGTTATGACAAGCAGTTAATTTACATTAAGATGTTTCTTGTTGTGATTTGTAGGGTTACAATAATGAAAGATAAAATAACACGGAGAAGCAAAGGTGTTGCATTTGTTCTGTTCCTGAAACGGGAGGACGCACAATCATGTGCCAAAGCTATAAATGGGCGACAAGTGAGTACAAGTTTGCATTTATAATGAAAGGCTTGGTGTTAACAAAATTTGGTTGTTGAATGTTTATTATATGCTTATTATTCTATTATCTTGCAAGGTATACCATGATGTGAAATTTATACTTAGCCGATAGTAGAAATTGAAATTACAGAGTAATAATTTTGTCTATTCTCAATATTGAAGTACTTCTGGACATTTGAAGTTGAAGTTGTTGTTGGAAATAAGTGTAACAAGCAAGTTTACTCTGTACTGTTTCAAAATGTTTATTGAATTAATAATTAGTTGTGCAATAAAAATCTGGGATGACATGATATGCAATTCCAGGTTGCAAGAAATGGGCATGAATCATAATATGAGGCCATTCACATTGTTACTAAAGATTGCTTTAAATGTGAATTGAACAAAAACAATTCACAATGAAACAAACAGTTAATATAAGTTAGGGAAGTGTATTGCTAGAGCAAGCAATTTGATGTGCTGTCTGACTTTTGTAGTACATAATGTTTATAAATTTGTGGAAGGCCATACTCTGTATTATATTTTAAGTGAGGGGCTCATAAGTATTCGACATCACTGTCTTTAAAAGTAGTGCCAAAATAGTGCTCTGGCTCTGAGGAAAGCGTCGGAGTACCACCTTGCACTGCCCTGCCCTGACTCAGCTGCAGCCCTGCTTATTACATTAATTGCTGATAGTGGCAAATTCTGATTTTCTTTAAAAGAGAACTAGTTGCTCTACAAAGCATGGCACCGTAGTTTCTGATATGAACAGGGGTATCAAAGACAATGCTAGTTGGATGTGCTATTGTTTCTGCAGCTTTGAAAGTTATCTTCCACATCTTGCAAAGTGTGTTTGTATATTGTCATGATGAAACCACATACGTACTTTGTTCTTCCTCAAGCAGCACCTGTTCTGCACTGAAAATGTGTGTTTGTTTCATTTGGATTCTTCAAAGCCCATAAGTGAGAATTCCATCTCTCATGAATGTCACCTCATCTGTAAACAAAAGGTGACAAATTGGCTGATCATCTTGAATTCCATACATGCAGATTTATACTCTCATTTGTGGCATGTTGACTTATTGAAATATGCTATGAATGCTGGTGGTTGGACAGCTGTCAACAGCTGCGTATTGTACTGGATGCTTAGTCACTGGTTTCAGCATTTCACCTTTTTCTTATAAATGGGAAAACGCTTGCCACTTAACCAAATTGGATGTCGTCTTCATTCTCAGACAGCTGCTGATGCACATTTTGAAAATAAGTCTAGCTATAACTATGTATCAAGTGAGCATGTACTGAACTGTCTACAGTGTTGCCTGATGTGTCCCAAACTGTCTGCTTGTTGTTAGCTTCTCTCATTTGGAAATCCTAGGCTTAACAACTTCATGTGGCCATTAACTCCTTCAGTATTGAGAACAGCAAAAATTACGTGAAGTATTGACTCTGTCATGGAACACTACATATATTATGTGTCTGCTGTAGCATTGACTCATGTTTATATAACAATAAGAAAGTTATTAAAATAATTACTGTTACTTCAGATTTTATCTAATATGTCTCTTATATACCCATAGAAATCTACTAAGACAATTCACCAGAATTTGTCAGAATTACATTTTGTTGCTGTGATATTAACAGGTGGTAGCAGGATTCATGCCTTTAGTAGCATCATCTTGCATGAACGACTGGGTAGCCATAGGCAACAGAGTTGTGTTGTGACATAATTTTGCAGTATATCCTTGTATCTATTTGAATTCACAGTTTTATTGAAGAAAAAGGGCATGGTAAGCGTTGTTAAAAAAAGTAGATGTTGTGTAATATGGAATTTTCCATCTCTGCCCTGTTGCTAATTCAAGTCATCTTTGCTTATCTCACTCTGAAAGTTTATGTCACTGATGTTCTGTATGGATACATCTCCGAATCATTCTCAGTTATTGTCTGCATTTATTGTTAACATCCCAAGTTCAGCAGCTGCTCTCTTTGTTGATTTTCCTGGATTGAACTTGACCCACAGGGTTACAGTATTTTCAGGAAAACATATACTAGCTGAATGAGGACATTTCTGTTCCTTCCTGGTCAAGCTGCTACAACATGCAAAGTATGGTGTATTATCAGGTGCCCAACAAGTTCTAAAGAAGGCCCAAAATCTCTAGATAGGAGGTACACCCTTTTGACGTGAAAACATCTTTAAAATCGATGCCGGGTGTGGGGAGGCAATCGCGCCCAATTGAGCGACAGTTTCTGTCGAAGTAATTTCAAACTTCAATAACTCGGCTAAAAATAGACATAGCGCTGCCATCTTAGTCTCGTTTTAAAGAGGAAGGATGAAAGTTTGTGCCAGTACCGCTCCGACATTCGTGGCGGCCGGACGTCGCGAACTGCGCACGCGCAAAGTGAATCCACGATTTTCGACTTTCCGGATTCGACACGTGTCCATAAACGGGATCATATCTCAGAGACTAATTATCCGATCCGAGTGAACCAAGTGTTGTTTTGAAGAGGAGTGTATATGTTACAACTCATCCTGGCCTCCAAGTGTGTATCTCAAAAACTCAAAAAGATACGAGGCTGTGAATTTGAAAAAGTTTGAAAATTTCCCGATTTTCTTAAAATGTCGCGATATATGAGGGCAAAGTACAACCAGAATTACAAAAATCGGGCACGAATGCGTAGAGCACAAAATTTCAAAGAGAATGACACCGAAAACGCCGGGCCCGGACCCAAAACCAACGCGCAGTACTGCCGCGAATATAGGAAACGTAAGCGCGCTCTGACAACTCAGGCGGCATCTGACGAGCCTGGGTCAGGTATGGATGTGGATTTCGTTGCTGATGAGATGGAGAGTGCAATGGAGGTCGACCTAGACCCATCGGAGGTATTCAAATAATTTCAAAGCCATATGTATCCTACTTCTCATACCACTACCCTGTATTCAATAAATGTAAGTTGCAAATGAATTAAACGATTCAAAACAAAAATTTTGTTTAATTTCAGTATACTATACACGATTGACGTTTTCACGAAAATAACTGCGGCAGTGTCCGACACTGCCTATC